GAAAAAGAGAAAGAGTAAAAGACAGAAAAAGAGAAAGAAAGGGAGAAAGAAAGACAGAGAGGAAAGAAAGAAAGAGAAAAAGAGAAAGGGAGAAAGAGAGAGAAAGAGATCAAAGAAAGAGAAAGAGAGAGAGAAAGAAAAGAGAGCAAGAGAGAAAGAAAAAGAGGAAGAAGGAGATAAGGAGAAATAAATAGAGAAAGAAAGGGAGAAAGAGAGAAAGAGAGAAAGAGAGAGAGAAGGTAAGAAAGAGAAAAAAGGGAAAGCAAAAGTAAAGTAAAGAAAAAGAAAGAAAGAGATAGACATGAAAGAAAGAAAGAAAGAAAAAGGAAGAAAGAAAGAAAGAAAGAAAAAGGAAAAAAGAAAGAAAAGTGAGCTTGCTCTGGCTTGGCAATACCAACAGTGGCATCAGTTCAGCAAAGACCTGCTGATGCCTTTGGCTCTGCGTTTGTGCATCGCTGCTCTGCGTCGGGATCGGCAACCGACCCAGACGCGGGCTCCAGCCATGCAAGCGGGGACAGGGGAGTGACACAGCCGCACACCTATTGGCAGCAGCTGGTGATGCCCCTGGCCTCAAACAGGTTAGGCAGTGCCAGTCCCACCCGCCCTAATGCACCTCCTGTGCCGGGTTATGTAGTACGCACCAAAATGTGATCATACACGGTTTATTCACACATGGAAACACATCTCACGTTGGTCAGAAAGTCTAGTTTCTGGCACTTCAGTAAATACTCCAGAAAAATGAATATATCATCAAAAGCTGTTGCCTTTAGAAGGTGCAGCCTATTTTTAATTTGTAATACAGAAAACTGATCATACCTCCTTCAGCACTGATCTCCAGGGAGCATTCTGTCTGTTTTCTGTGGTGCCCTTACGTGTTCAGCCTGCACTTCAAGGAAATGATTCCCCTAGCTCAGGGAGCCTCTTTCTGTATTGTCCACCTTGCAGACTGGGGTTTGCAACCCTGCACTGGTTGCAAATCAGGAGCTCCCCTTTTTTCTAGGTCTTTTCACAAATTGTGAGTGCTTCAAGTGAGAGCTACATTTTATCTTCTGTGTTAAATACTGGATCCTTTTCTAACCTCTTTCACTGCAGTATTTTACTCAATTTTGTAAAACGAATATTAGAAGCGAATTAGACCCCTCGAATGGAATAATTCCAGGTACTAGGGATGTTGGTGGCCTTGTCCACTCCCTGCTAAAAGCAGAGACTTTCCACCGACATCTGTATGAGCTGCACTGGGCTGCTAGTGCTAATGCTAAAGACTGCAGTATGACTGAATAGAAGAGATCCTGGAAAAGTAATTTGGAGCAAACAGGATTGCAGACCCATGGAACCAAAGCACAGAAGTAAACTGGTAGAAAAGACATCACCAGTTAGCCAACTCCTCATTTAAGAGCCTATAGCAAGTGTCGTCATTTCTACAAAGCTGTCTCAGGCCCTTTTTTGGAAGCCAAGTGCATGTAAGGAACAACTCTACTGTCTTGCATGGAGGCTGCAGAGAGGTGTAGGTGGTCTGGTTGGATACGAGCCCCTCATGGTTGTTAATGCATTAATTGTCACAGCTCCGTTGCTACATTACTCACTTTCCCTTCCTTAAATGAGAGGAGGAAGAGCATCCGGCAGAGCAGAGACTCGAATCTCACAAGCTGCAGTGCGGTGATTTGGGGGGTCCCCAAGCCTCATGGCCGGAGAGGGTTCGACCCTGACACCAGGGTCTCCCAAAGGAGGGCCGGGGTGGGCTCCCTGAGACGGGTCCGTACACGCCGACCCCCCGAGTCCGGGAACGAGCACGGTGTCTCGCGAGCCTCCGCTTCCTCAGCTGGGAGCACAAAGAGCGGCTCCGAATTAAAGAGCGGCTGTAAATTGCTCACCAAAGGCCCAATCCCCAGCTCCCCACAGAGATATCAAAGTCACTGGGAGTTTTCCGTGAGTAGGAAGTAGAGGAATGAGCTTCAAACGCTCAGGCCCTGCTCCGCATGGGTGGTCTATTATGCCTGGACGGATTCCCACTGGCTCCAGCAGCACTCGGAGGTAGGGAAAAGGCTCTTCCTAAATGCACCCCGTTGCAGGACTGGGGCTCTGAGCACTTTCTTTGAACGCTTACTAGGGATTTCAGCGGAAAGGTGAAGCCCAGGCGTATTGCAGCTGTTCCAGAGCATTTAGCCCCATACGTTGGTATTAATCCAAGCTCGGAAAACGGAGGGGGAAAGACTCCTGCGCCCGGCGGAGCCCTGGCCTTCCATGTGCGCTGTGAAAAACAGCTCAGCAATCGCCGGCAGCGGAGAAAATACGTTTGCATCCGCCCGGCTATACATCTGCAACTGCTCAGAGAAGAGCATCCTAATTCGTCCCGCCGTGCGGCTGGCAGAGCAACAGTCGCTCCCGACCGTGGATGCGTATCGGTGGCATCCCAGCCAGGCCGACGAGGAGCCAGATCCATCGGCCGTCTCCCCCTTCCCCAGCACCCTTTAAAATAACCCTCCGCTTCATTGTTTCCCATGACCCTTCTATTCCTCTCCACGCGGGAACGTCCGGATTCTCAGCGCTCTCCGTCTTCGCGGAGTAATTGGTGAATACATTAATTCTATAAATAATGAACCACGCGGATTAACCGCTCGCTGGCCTATCCAGCGCAAGCGAGGAGCGCGCTTCCCGAAGGCTGGGACATCCGAAATCCCTTGTAAAAGCTGGATATTCACGACCGGCCAAATTTAAAAGGAAAAACAACTGATTTGGGAGTTTATTTTATGCAAAGTGTCCCCCTTTCCCTCCCCCCCACAGATAGGACAGGCGATGGACAGCGAGACCACGGTATTTTTACAACTTTCGGGGCTACGCTCGCGTTCTCATTTTTTCAAACAGCAGCTCGCCGCGACTCCGGCTTCGAAAGCAGCGGTACGGCACGTCCCGCTGTGTGCCTGAGGTCGAGGAAGGAGGGCGACACGGCGCTCCGGATTTTGGGGCCGGCG